AGCTTTAAATAAAGAAAATTTCGTGTAAGCCAGACGTGTGCCTTGCCTATGCTGGGTTAAGACCAACAGTAAAATAATATTTTTGCGAACAAGATTCATCTATTCGATCCGTACTTACTTTAGTGATTTCTTAGTACATTGGTGTTCACCGAAGTAGTTCACAAAAAGGGAATTGATCCAGAGATGGGGGTCAACTTATCTCGATGGGCTAGTGACCTGAGGGGCAGATACATTCACAAACTGCGGCAAAAGGTCCCAAACATGGACGTGGACAAAATACTGGAATGGTATAGGGAATACAAAACCCTAAGCAGAGGCAAACACCTTCTCACCGAGGTGGAACTTGTGGTGAGATATGACAGAATATATTGGGAAGCATTCCATTTTAGAACATGCAGTTGTTTGTGTTAATGCTGTAGTTAGGATTCAATGCAATAAGGGAACGAGTTTAGAATATTAATGCGTCTCACCTGCCAACTTATGTGTGATTCCAAAAACAAAAGGCACGTCAAGTGTAAAAAAAATAATTATGTTTAACACATAATTTAAAAGTTCAGTGAATTAAGTTTACAATGTACGAAATATGTCAACCAACTTTATAATATACATATGGTGAGAGGAAATATCCTCTCATGCATGCCAAAATCATAAATGATCCATCATTTAATTTAATCATCATTATGCAATTAAAAGTGTGGAGTGGCACCTGCAACTGCATCCCATTATCATTGTACAGTGCAACCATTATGTAAGTCAACAATGGATCTTATTAAATCATAATCACGTGCTTTTTACATAGTTTCATCTCAACTATTTTAGGCTCTAAACTTCAAATCATTTAAAGATTCTATTAAGAAAACCAGATGGTTTTCCTGATTTTTTAAAATTTGTAAATGCTTACATACAATGCTTGCTTAAATTATATTATCTGTGTCACGCATATTAAAGTATTTTATTCATGGTCCTCTCTCTCTCTCTCTCTCTCACATATTATAGGCTAATTGCTTTAATGAACAAAAAAAGGTTGTACCCAAGTTGGAGAACTTGTTGCCCAACCCCTGTTGCTTCATTAATAGGCAATAAAATCAGTCTAAACATGAGCTGGAAGCCTAAAAGTTGACCATGCATCTGTACTGTTGCCATCTGGCTGGGATGTTATGCTCAAGCCTGGTTTCCAGCTAGGGCAGACGACATAAAATGGGCACTCTGCCAGTTTGTTACTGGTACTATTTTGGGGGGTTGTAATATCGAAATACAGAAGATGAAAAGATTATATTGATTACGCCAAACATACATTAATGTATGAATATATCATTGAGTAGTCTTCATAAAACATTTAATATGCATTGATAATAATAGTGGTACTAAAGCTCACTCTTTGCTAGCAGAAGAAAATGCATTGTTTTTTTAAATTTCTAAAAGCCATAATCTATACAAAATGTGACCGTATAGTGTTTAGAAAAATCGTGACATGTTACAGAACAAAGGCAGACATAGATACACTTCTACTACTAGCAAAAGGTCCAAGAGGGCCTGAAATTGATCAACTGCCCGACCTATGCCCTACAACCATGTGCAAAAGGATGCTTCCAGCTTAAATGGTTTTGTTTTGCTGACTGCGTATATTATGAAAAAATTGTTTAAAATTATTCTGTATTTATTTTTGCGTCCATATCTGATGAGCACATTAACATTATTTGTCGAATAATGACAGGTTTTAATGCATGTATGTGGGTTTTTTGGGGGTCAAATTCATTGGTCTTATGCTGAGCGATTTTTGAGAAGGCGTCGTTTAAAACTAATGTGTTATATTTGTTTATTACATGCTAAATTACCTTACCTCCAAAAATGAAGATTTTGACACCTTCCAAAAAGTTATGAAATTCCAAAACTAAACAATTGACAACCGAAATGTGCAAATATTCATGGTAATGTTTACGTTTTGAAAAAGAAAAACGTTATTTATTTTAAATTGCAATCAAATAATGAAAAGAGGGCAAATGATGGCAATGGTATATTAAGGTCTTCCAAAGCTTTTTATCATCAACAATTACTTTGATATTTTGGTATGCCTCTGTTGGGCTAGTGCCCTAAGCACATGGTTGGTGTGCTTAACTGGTAATCCAGCACTGCATACATTTCATATCTGCCAACCTGGTCTGCATATGAATAAAATACAAAAAAGTATTGTGAAAAGCAGCTGAAACTATTTTTAGCTCCTCTGTCTGTAAGATGAAGTGAGATTAGGACATGTTTCTTTCCATTGTTAGTTTGGCAACATTTGTTTGGTACCATTCGGTAGGCCAGGACTTTTTATCCAAATTTGATCTTACTTGGAACATATCATCAGTATCTCGGACTTCGAATGTGAGCTAGACTTGTACATAAATATGAGGTGATCTTGCATCTCATTGACTAAGCTTGCTACCACCCCATAGGTCAATTTTTAAAAAAAATCTAATTTGATACACATTTTGTAGAAGCTTATATCATCCATATCTCAGAAAAGTTTGATAAAGAGCAAATTTCATGCAACAATAATGAGATTGACAGACCCTCTAGAACATATTCATGATCTAATTTTTACAAAACTCGGAACTTATATCATCAAATTCTTGACAACTTCGAGTTTAAAGAGGCGACCCTCATCTGAGCTTGTTGCCATCCTGGAAGCCATAATTCTGATCCAATTTTGATCAGACTTTAATTATCAAGCTTTTAGATGAGTTTGATAATGAGCGAGATTTTTGCAAATGAATGATGTGAGACTGCATGCTTGTTACCATTTTAAAAGCCATATATTTCTTTATTTCTTATTCGCAAGATTTTTATAAAACATGGAAAATAGGCTTGTGTGATCAAGATTTACACAAGTTAGATAATGAGTGGAATCACACATGTTAATAAAATGCAGTGCAGTTAGAAAAGCTCTAAAATTGTGCGCAGTCGTAATCAGTTTGTTTACTTTTAAATACACGTTCCTGCTCTATGGTAAAGTAAAGGAAGCAACCCATGATAATGTCTTTTGAGAATCACACGACTGGTGTTACACAGTTCATACCTTTATAAAAAATAAGTATGCACACTTAATAATAAAAAATAGCATACAAATTTGCAAATTTCAATCTAACAAATATTAAAAATCAGTGCCTTCCCCCATTTCTTCACTCACACTACATCCAGCTGACATAATCTCTTTCGATACTAGAATACCTGTTTACAGTGTGTGGACTTTCTATCCTCAAAAACTAGCTAGCAAAATTTTTATACATTTTGTCATTTTGTAACAGTGAATAGTGAAAAATGGTGGGAAATAATCAATATGTAGCAAATACTCTTTTCCATTCATTAACCAGACACTTTTTTGCAACAAATTTTTACCACTTTTCCCATAGTAAAACACTAAATGGATGTAATGGCCTGTCCCTTATATCACCAGAGGGGATACCCAGAACACGAGCATTTTCTTTATTATGCCAGTGAGCATTGACAGAAATGCTCTAAATATTGTATTACTGTAGGAAGCAGTGGTGGTAATAACCACTCCTAATACCTTCAAAGTTGGTCTCATCATGCCCTTCACCTGCCTGCAAAAGTTCACAATAAGTTACTAGGCTGACAGAGAAACTAACCATTGCCCTATCTCAAAATGGCATTAGAGAAAAAGTGCATTTAAGGGGAAATTTTTTTTTTTTTTAAAAACTGATGTGACCTTGACCTTGAAGATACCTTAATCCTTATGATAAATGACATCAAAATAAGAAGCAACCAGACCAGTTTGTGTTTGCTATGTTCTCTAATTGCATTATTCTCTTCAAGGTACAGCCTTAACGTGTAAAAATGTGCAGTTAAAGCAAAAACAACAAAATAATCCTACCAAAAAAATCGCCCACTTCTCTTAAATAGATTTTAAGTCAGAAAGCAGAAGGGAAAATGCAACTGAAACCCAAAATATTGACATGTGATCTTGACCTTATGTTTGGACCTCTAATGTAGGATGTGACACAACTTTTAGTGATGATATATAGTTATACTAAATTCCATATCTTCATCTTAAAAAGATCTAAAATCCCTGAGTGGATGTTGTTGTGGGGCTTAATGCCATTTTTCAGCACATGATAGGCTATACATGGCGGCCAGTATTAATGGTGGAGGAAGAAACCAAAAAATCACCGGAAAGAACCACTGACCCATGAGAAGTTACTGGCTCCTGGAGTGGAAAGGAAAGTGAATGTAAAAATTAAACAGATAAGGCCAAGGCAATGACCTTGAAAATAATATTCCACTGTTGTACACAATACACCTGACAATATGGAATATACCAAGTTTCATTCCTTAATCTCAAATGGCTCAAAAGTGACCAAGTTCAGTTGAAAGTATGATAGAAAAATAAAAGTTTAAGTTGAGTCAATAACTTTTAAGGCAGGAACTATATTGTGGCACACAAAATGCCTACGTATGAAAACTGAAAATGTATAAATATACAACGGTTCATTCATTCATCTCTAACAGCTCTACAGAAATAAAGCCGAAGGGAAATTTATTTTGTTTTAAAGATTTTTTAATGCAGTATTGTATCAGGCCAAGGAAAAGGTAGCTAATTGCCTCTCCCATGAACACACCGAGGCATCTAAGAAATATGCAAGGTTGAAATTCTAGTAACATACATAGCAAAACACTTAAATTTTGTCACAAGTACAATAAATCTACGTTGACCAAAGACAATCCAAAGCTGGTTTAAATTCATGCATTTTTTCAAAATGGGAACAAAATTTGTGATGGATGTGATGTGATGAGATGGAGAGACATGTGTAATAATAAAACATGGCATGAGCATTAAAAAGTAAATAATGTTGAAAAGATCTAGTTTAATCAATGTTATACAAATTCTTAATAAAAGACATGAAATAATTATTCTATTCAAAACAAAACATTGAACAGCTAATGCTATCTTGTTATTATGCCTCATGTAGGACAGGGTATTTGCTGACATTATGATCTGCTCTGGTAGCCTAGTGGTTAGAGCATCCGACTTGGATGCAATGCAGAAGGTTATGGGTTTGATCCCCGGTTGAGTCATACCAAAGACTTACAAATATGTACCAACAGCTGCCTTGCTTGATGCTCAGCATTAAGAGGTTAGTGGTAGGACTGGTCGGTCTGGTGTCAGGAAAATGTGACTGGGTGGGACATCATGCTACATGTCTGCGACATGATGCCCCACTGATCCATGGAAAGCTAATGTCTCAAGATGGTATTTAATTACATTTTCATTAATATGTTGATAGACTAGGAAGGAGGGTAAGGCATGATCCATGAAATGACCTTAATGTAAATAGACAGAAGAATACACAGTGTATAAATATCACAAAAATAGAGAAATTTAAGCAGAATTATTATGGCTTGACAATTAATCAATACATGTTTATAATTTTATTGACATAAAAAACATGAATTGAATAGATTAAAAAATACTGCAAGTTACAATTTCTTAGCAAGCATAAAACTGCAGTTAATTTAGTACTGAGACAGTTGTAGCAAAGCGTCTTGCCCTAGAATGTACTTCGGTAGCCAGCTTGAGCTGACTTAATGGTAGGATTCAAACCCACATCATTTATGTTGCATAAATGGGCAGATTAAATTATTTTAACTTAAAGCAACAAAAAAAAAATTACATATGGAAACTTATGTAAATCTTGGATATTTAACTCATTAAAATTATACAAGTCATTTTACCTCACACCATAAACAAGTCTAAGAACAGCTTGACTTCTACACTCAATATTTTCGCAAATAAATCTGTCACTATGAAACGAGACTGAGTCATTTTGTGATTTTTTTAAAACCTGAACTACTCATTTTGTGAAAGAAATTCCTAATTAAATCACATGAACTGGCATTTTGTTTTAAAATTTGAAATGTCTTGTTACCCTTTTTTTTAAAAATTTTTGTATACTTTTATTTCTGTTCTCATCTAGAAGAAAAAAAAAGCTGCAGATTTACTTCAAGCACAGTGAGCTGTGGATAGTCTTGTTTATCAAAAGGGTTGCACACATAGCAAGGAATTCCCAAAATTTGTGTGTAAGAAGTCTAAAATCTATATGCTTTTTCCTTACTGCAAGTGCAAGTCATCCTCAATGTCTGACAATAGTTGATGGTGCAGAACTCAAGTTATTGTCATTAATAACAGGAGAACAGACAGATGTACAACACAGTATATACTCTGCCTTTTGATGGATGTATAAAATGCTCACTGACAGCTCTGAATCCTTTATAAAATACCAATAAAAAGGGGTCATACTACAATGATGCCCAAAGTGAAAAATGCTAGTTTTGGTGTCCTCCCCCATGTATTTACTTTGGTCATATGTTTGGCTAATTTTTTATATCAATAATGTCTGTCAATATTTTTAATAAACAGTCTACATCTAAAGTATGCACTAAGTCAATCATTAATTCCTCAAAAATGTCTTTTTCTTTTAAAATATCAATATGTTAGATATACATATTTATTAAAATGCATGATGATTAACAGCATTTCATTTTGACACAAATACAATACCAGAACTTGTTACAATCATAACGAAAAGATGAGATAATATTATCAGTGAATGGTGTTATATGGTCTAGATAGCCTGAAGAACAAATTCAGTATTGAAGAAAAATTGGAAAGCAGTGATTTATTATAGATATACAAACCATACAATGGACAGGCAATTAACATCAAGGAAAATAAATCTTTTCGCTCCCATATTTTATAATTATGGGTGTTGAGTTCAATCATTGTTTTATTGAGCTGTGAATCTGATGCTGGCCAATGGAAAGTGGATTACAGTATCTGTATTTCACAGCACAAAACAATGATGCATTCAAAGACACAAGGGCATGTTATTTTATTTTACTTTCATACTTTGATCTTAAAACACCACTCAATCACCTTCACACAATGTTCTTTTTTTGTGTGGAGCAGACATCAATGTGGAAACAAATGTCACATTATTGCTAAACATGGGATCTGTTCTGCCAATCATAACGTTAGGTTAAAATGTATGAAAGCAATAACTGCATTTCTATAAAATTAATCTGAATGTCACATAAATGAGAACATGGTTAGAAACTCTTCGAGTCAATTATAAAACAATAATTCACAAAAAATAAAAATTTATATTTGCAAGGCAATTTTAACAAGCACTACAGCTTTCATACATTGATTGAAAACATTATATACAACATATGTGATCCATCATGCAACTGGTAGAAAAATTTACAGCACCACATTTCATATTCAGAACATTATTTCAGTAGTCCTTTACATGTGATCACAGATAACTTGTCATGCATGCTAGCTGTCCATAATTAGAATTCTTTAGCTAATTATTTGTGAAACTTCTTGGTTGAATCCTTAGCATGATCCAAGATAAGTTGACAAGGTTTAAACTGATCACCATACAGTGTTTGGTATCTCATCATTCTGTCCACAAGCTGTTTAGCTCCATGAAGATCGAGGTATTTAAATGGACCTATAATAAAACATTCAACATGTTAGTACAAAAAGAATCTGCTTTTGAAATTGTAAAATGCACAGCACTAAAATTAAGGCAGTGAGGATTACTATGTACTGTCTTACGTGATAGCAGATAATGAGCCTATACTTTTTTGTAACACATATCTGTGCTTTTTGTTACATATATCTATGCTTTTTTGTAACAAATATGCTATGCTTTTTTGTTACATATATCTATGCTTTTTTGTAACAAATATGCTATGCTTTTTTGTTACATATATCTATGCTTTTTTGTAACAAATATGCTATGCTTTTTTGTTACAAATATCTATGCTTTTTTGTAACAAATATGCTATGCTTTTTTGTTACATATATCTATGCTTTTTTGTAACAAATATGCTATGCTTTTTTTGTTACAAATATCTATGCTTTTTTGTAACAAATATCTATGCTATTTTGTTACAAATATCTATGCTTTTTTGTAACAAATATGCTATGCTTTTTTGTTACATATATCTATGCTTTTTTGTAACAAATATGCCATGCTTTTTTGTTACATATATCTATGCTTTTTTGTAACAAATATGCTATGCTTTTTTGTTACATATATCTATGCTTTTTTGTAACAAATATGCTATGCTTTTTTTGTTACAAATATCTATGCTTTTTTTGCAACAAATATCTATGCTATTTTGTTACAAATATCTATGCTTTTTTGTAACAAATATGCTATGCTTTTTTGTTACATATATCTATGCTTTTTTGTAACAAATATGCCATGCTTTTTTTGTTACAAATATCTATGCTTTTTTTGCAACAAATATCTATGCTATTTTGTTACAAATATCTATGCTTTCTTGTAACAAATATGCTTCCAAGTGAAATTTATATAAAGAACCTGATTTGCTGGTAAAATCTGCTACAGAAAATCTGTATCTTCACTGCTTAGTTAGGTGAACCTTATGCAATGATAAATATGTTAGTGGTAATGATCCATTGTGCATCATTCATATCATGCTACAGAGAACCATACAGAATGTTGTTTTAAATACAAACATGTCTTGAAGTCCTGACAAGGCATTCATTATGGCACCTATACACAAGAAGTATATACCATTTATTTCTGTATGTAGGTACTGCCAGGACATGAACAAATTTGACCAAGAAACCAGTTATCCTTATTAGGTCATTGTCACCTTGAATTTCAAGCTGTCTAACCATTTCTTTTCAATATAGGCAAGTCATCCTTCAAGTTATTTGCCATTATAAAGTGTGGTGTGCAATTAAAGTTAATTGATAGAAACTTTCTCCCTTGTATGAATCTCAATGGCTTTGAACTTTGGTCTTATGATCCTCAAATCAAGTTGTTTTTGTCTGCCTTCAAGTACAAGTCATCCACAAAGTAGAAACAATTTTTTTTCTTTTATGCTTCAATATGACCTTGGTGTCTATCCTAACCCATGTGCAAGCCATTTACAAAACATGATCATTCATAACTAAGGGTAATATGCAGGTAGCAAAAAATGTTCTCATTTGAGTAAAAGTGACCCTAACCTTTGAACTTTTAACCCCAAATTAAAGGTTTCTTCCTCATCCTAAATGAAAGCTATCACCAAGCTCTGTTAAAGTAATCCAAATCTACACATTTCTAGTTACAGTCACTGTGACCTAACTTAGACCTTTTCACCTCAAATCCATTAAGTCAAATATAGGTGCATGTTTCTGAACTGGAATTGCTATGCAATAAACCAAAAACTATCTGCTGGCCTGACAAACGTGATAGTATGATATACTTGGTATTAGAATAATAGAAAAATAGGATTAGAATAATGGTAAGTAATTTGCACAGGCAAATATATACCCTCAATCCAATACCTACATCATACTGGGGACAAATCTTAAATGTATGCACATAACGTACATATCTTCTGACCATGATAATAACAAGTAATAAGTTTCACAGCAATCAAATACAACAAAATTTGGTCATTCACTTCATTCAGCATAAAGGGCAATAACTCTTACAATAAGAGTACCATGAATGGCACATTATATGAAAAGCAGGTGTTTATCAATCTTCATGTAGAGAACTCGACCTTCTGCGCATTATTCGGTTTTTCTTGCAATCCATGGCCTTGACCTCTGATCTTTATACCCCATGTTCAATAGATTTCTTCCTTACCACAAGAAGAAGCCATTCACAAAATTTGGTCTGTGTATGTTATGTGCAACCAATGTTATAAATCACATACCATTTTTATTCTTCCAGTTACTAACCTTGACCTATGACCCTAATATTAATAGCCTTATTCCTTATTCCAAGTGCAAGCCATCCAGAAGGTTTGGTTGAGGTAAGTCATGAAGAACAAATGTTGTTGTTTTGATACCCGATCATAATACCTTCTGAGCATAGGGAGGTATATACCCTTAAACCAAAGAGATGATCTCCAGTTTCCTAAGGTATGTGAGACAGCTTTTAATGACTTGACTGGAAAATAGACTTCATATATTGGGAAGATGGAAACATTTTCCCTCATCAAAATCCAGCGGAAGTTATAAAACTGTGTCCTTATGA